GAAGACGCTTGTGTGTGACAGGCAATTTGTATTAAAATGAGACATGGTTTCTCTTCCAATAACAACAAAGACTCAGCGAGTTGAGTACCTAATTAGACATTATACAGGCACACTAATACCGAGTCTGAATGACCAATGTCCATTCTACAAACAGACTAAAACACAACCGTAAGCGTATTGACGGTGAAAGGCAAAAGAAAAAAAACAAAAACCAAATTTAACCACAGATATATTGAGAACTAGAAACGAACTGATTGATGCTGACAGGCTTTTCGTCTATCAAGAGACAAAGATATTTTGTTGGGACACAATCGCCCGACAACGAACATACACGGACGACACAGATAAAAAGACAATGAGGTTGTGATAGTCAAATATCATATGCGTCACACACACACACACACACACACACACACACACACACACACACACACACACACACACACACAGAGAGAAAGAGAGAGATCTGCGCAAAGTTATGAGAAATATAGAAAAAAGATAATATCTGTTATAAAAACACGCCCGCCCGCGCCTAAATAAAACCCATGAATATATCGATTGATATATATGAATGCATTTTTTTTTTATTAATATAAACCCTATTTTTAGTACCTGGTTTTATTTTTTTTCTTAAACACTGAAATTAATAACTACCGGTCTAGATTGTGATGTCCTTAGATTGTCGAAGGCGTAGCTCCTTTTCAATCAGTGAAACCACTTCTATAACCGAAATGTGAGCTTACCAATTAATTTCTGGAAGCTGAATTGACTGAGCAAAGTCTGAAATACTGATTTGAGGAATGCAAATTCAAGATTCAGTTATTTTCGAACCTGTATCCGTTAGTTTCTGTTCCCTTCACGAAATTTAAAGTCATTTTTAAAGAATTTTTTGTCCGCCATTATTTCTTCTATGTAAATAAATGTGAATGTCAGTGTGTCACACTTTTTCAACTTTTACTCGTAGAGGCTGTAGCCCAACATATATAATTTTGGAATCAGGCCGGCTCTGTGAGCTAATTAAATCATTCCTTGTCGGATCTGGACCAGCAATCCTGAAATTATGGATTCCCAAGTTTTCATGACTGCGATTTTTTTTTTGGATTCCGTCATCCTGGTATCTGCTGAAAAAAAAACAAGGGGACACTACTCTCTAACTTTCAATAGCTCATATTCAATTGAAAAACTTACAGTTTTCAAATTACAGTGTTTCAAAATTGTTATGGGCCCTTACCCATAATAACATAATGGACTATTCCATACGTAATAGATACTGCGCCTCAAGAGGAAGCAGAGAGTTCAGTCTGAAGTCTGGAGTGAGGACTGTCAGGGAGTCTGTCTGTCAAAAGACTGTCAGTCAGTCAGAGTGAGTCAGTCAGTCGAGTCAGAGGCAGTCCGTGACAGAGTCGCGTTCAGACAATTACTACTAAACCTTGGAATAGTGGACTGGTCGAGACTACATTGTTCTCCCTACTAAACCCTGATTGTTCATACTAACACTTCTACTTCTCTGTATATATTCCTGTTTCAAGATATATCTGTGTTATTCCATACCAGTGTTCGAATTCTTCTTTATTTATTCTACATTGGAATACCGTGGTACAAGGGTTGAGACCATAACAGTGGCTACTAAACCTGATTGTTCGAACTAACACTTTCTACTTCTCCAATAAAATTCTCTCTTGTCAATATCTGTGTATTCCATATCCGAATTCGATATTTTTTTTATTGAACTGCTCAATCATCCTTTTACAAAGAACCGGACAGTCATAACAAAAATAAAAGGCCTTGTAGCTGATTTTTATTTTCTACTAGATACCCCTTTCTAACATATCGTTATTTTGCCTCAAGGCCGACCCTGTCGATATTTTTTGGCAAATGTTTGGATGTTGCTTTATTTCACAAATTCAGAGATTTGAAAATTTGACTTGTGCCTCTTTATTAAAAGAAAAGAACTGGTTCTAATTCATATTTTATTTATCTTTTTCTCTCTTAAAAAAAGTTGTACGATAACAAAATTATACCGTTAAAAAAAATTTGGGTTGTCTCTGAAACAGGTTTATCCATCTAAATATTACATATAAAAAATAAAATAAATGTCTGTTTACCAATGGATTTAATCTATTATTCCCTTTATATATAATATAAAGAAAATTATTGTAATTTTTAATGATAAATATTAAATATTAATGCAATAATAAAATGATCGATCGATTTATCAACTGTTTTGTAGTTTATTTATTATCGTCATATTATGGCATTTTCGTTAAATCTCCGTCAAAAATGACCAGTATTGTTATTAAAAGGGTCATCGCACGATGAGGAAAATAAGGCCCCGTTGTAATTGAAAACCCAAAATCAAACGGGAGCAGAAATTCCAAGGATAGTGTATTTGCAAAGACTCAAATGACTCAAACTCTGGAACAAACCGACGTTACTGTCAAATAGAAAAGAAATTAAGCAAAGTATTAAAGAAAAAATTTGCAAATTTCGTTAGAGATCAAACAGCAGCAAGAAAAACTATCTAATTCTGAGAATATGCATAGCATGAAATGTTGAAAAAAATTCTCTGAAGCTGAAGAAGATCAAGAACCCATTGTTATATCGACGAATACTGAGAATACCTTGGACAAAGCATTTGAGTAACGAGGAAGTCTTATTTCGATAGATTTACAATTAACTTTTGATATTTATAATCTGAAAATGCTAATAAAGAAAGAAGGTCTAGAGAATTTAACACCAACAAGAGATACTGAAGGAACGGGAGTAAAGGAAAGAGCGAACAATTTTCTGATCTATAGTTTTTGTTTCTAAATGCCAGAGGCAGGACCATAAAAAATGATGAAGGCTCAACGACCAGATTTGATTAAAAGACAGGAATCTTGAAGCCATGATCGATCAAGATTTAGATGGCTATGACACATAAAAAATAATCCGTTGGAAGGAATCTTTTGAAGAATATGTAAAGGAGTAACAAATAATATCAAATCACGGAACAAAATGGAAAAGCTGATTGATATCAAGATTTTTCAATGGGAATCTTATATGCCACAAAAAGATCGATTTTATTCATAGCCATCTTATAATTTGTCTTGTTTTGTAGTTTAATAAAAAAAGTTCTAAATATCTCCTTCAACATCTGATTCCGGTTTCATTAAAATAATCAGTTAATAATTTCAATCATAGATTTTGTGAATCGATTCTTGAATTAACGGCAGCGAGATTTTCTTATTAGAAAATCTATCGTAAACATATTGAGTCGTTAGTAACACAAACTCTGAAAAACCAAAATATTTGATTGAACTGCCCTCAACTTTTGATCCTCAGATTAAATGCCTCCCGACTGATACAGAAACTATTGGAATATTTAGCAATTAATAAAAAATTGTCCCAATACCTTTAAATCGTTTCCATCAATTAACTGGTTAAATAGTTCGTTCAAACGAGGGTTTTTATATCAATTCCCTGCAGAATGTTATGTTTAAAGGCGTTTAAATGCCGTCATTACTAAATGGTTTAAAGAAAACAAAATGTACTAATTACAATAAATTTGGAGGGGTAGAATTTTGGATTCTACATTTTATGGTTCCCTATTTGCTCGTAAGCAATATAACGACCCCGACTAGAATTGGAACGTGGCCATATTGCAATTAAAAAATTATCGATTACACCGAGGAAAAAGGTCCAAGTTCAAATGACCAGGTATTCCAAACGGTTACTCACCTAGAGCTTTATCAGGCTCGACGTTGCAAAGACTTCGGTGATCGTAAACTCCTGAACATCCCTTTGAAAAAGTAATCATCTAATAAAAGTTTCAGCCAGTTAAAAAAAATTTTCTGTTGCTTCGTGCGTTATTACAATAAATCTTCCTGTTTTTCTACGTTGCAATGTCCTTCATGAAGTTTTAAAAATAACTCTCCATAACATCCTGGGCTTTGTAGATCTTAATAAACTTTGACTTTTAAAGCCTCTCCTTAATCTTCAAAGTTCTTCTACATTCGTGCCCCTTCAGGACGTTGACATCTCACTCCTGTGTCTGCCAGGTTCTGTTGCATGGGCTGTAATTTATTTTTATTAATTTTTGAAAGATATTTTTTTATCACTTTAAACGTAATTTTAGTCGAATATTATTTTCAATAGACGCTTTATTTTATTATTTTTATCTATATACACCTGAATGTTTAAATAAAATCTATTTAGAAACAACATTTGTATTAACAACCCATATCTCTCCTGATAATGGAACTTCATTATAAACTGAGCCCTTATTTAAACTTGTTCAGCGTATAACATATAACAATAAAATATATTAAAATAATTGTAGAAAAAACGTAAGGACATAGATTAACGAACTGTAAAATGATGAGATCTCGATGCTTGTCTATATATATATATATATATATATATATATATATATATATATATAATATTTATAAAAATGCCCTCTCCGTTTACGAGGTTGGAAAGTTATTGATTCAGTTATGAAAGTTTGTGACTTATAATAATATGGCAATTGATTCTTCTTAGTGATTTATAGAATTCAAAGGCCGTCATATGGAGCAAGAGTGAGGATTGTGAGATAAGATCACTATTAAATTGACAAACGCTTTTAGATCCTGCTCAACAACCTGACCATCACCATTCTTACATCTAAAACTTGAGAGATTTCCATTCTACCCGCTCAGCAGTTGACCTAAAGAAACGCTCAAGGGTATTAAAGAAGGTATATTGACTGCTGACAAATTTGCTTTTCATTAGGTTTTTAGTATCTTTACTAAAAAAGGTTCCTACATTCCTGTAGCCCTAATCTAACTGGCTGTACATTAGGATCTTCCTAAAAACTGTCATCAGACATTCTCATTTCCAACCAGTCCAAAGTAACAGACTGTACATTTTTATACAGTTTATCTTGAAGGGAGTAACTCCAAGATTGCACTTTTTTTAAGACATTACAGGGTTAAACATCAGCTCCACGTATTTGTGGGGATCCAGATTCTAGATGA